TGTAGATTTGCCTTGACTTTTAGAGCTTTTCTTTAACGTAGAAGTGAGGCCTGCAGATTATAACTATACCTTCAAAAAATAGGTGCTTCCTGACACTAATGTGGTGACTGACAATACCAAAAGTAATAGCCTTGTTCCCCACCTAGCCCATGGCTCCTAAATCTGCGTTTCTTTATCAGTATAATGGGGGTTGAATACATTTTAAAAGGTGGTAGCTATTGATTACTTAATGGAAAAAGTTAGTATGTGAGAATTGCTGAAGCAGCCCTATTTAGTGCTCTTCTGTGCAACAAGACCATTATCTGGAATGGTGGAAATCATCCTGTAACTCCTATTAATATTTAATAGATCTGAAGCAACACTGAGATATACTACACAATAGCCCAGAGCATCTGCCCAGATAGAATATAAGGTTATTTCAAGGCTCTAAAAAGAATAACTGATTTCCCTGTGCTCAGGCTGTTTATGAGTAAGAGCAACAATAAACCCTTTTCCTCTGTGCTTTTTTAAACTATCTGAAACACATCAGCACTTTAATATACCGTTATTCCTAGTAGGCAGCTTGAAATGATGGAATGCTCCAGAAAGGTCGCTGTATGTTTAGAGATCACTGCATAAGAATATTTTATGTTTTCCCAATATTGTTGTGAATCCCAACCTCCCTCTTTCCATCCTTTCGTCTCTGCTGAGGGGCACATTTGGCAAGGCTGACAAGTCAGTGAAAGGTGTTAATCCTGTCTAATAGTCCCATAATCCTTGGGGCTGTGTTTTACATCATGCTATTGAGCTAACCCCTTGTCATGTGTCAGGATATTGTTGATCTAGTAAATATAGAAGTTATATTTGAGAGTATTAGATAAAATTAAACTGAACAGGCTAAATTGTCCTATAATCAATTATTAGTAGCTTTCTCTAAGATTTTTTCTGATGGATTACAAACAATTAAAATACATCGCAAATAAAATATATATATATTTTTTTAAATTACTAAGTCAATTTTTAAATGACTATAAAATATAATTTTTTTAAAAAAATTACTAAGTCAATTTTTAAATGACTAAATGTCACCCATTTAAGTTAACGAATATATTCAAATGTATTTCATGTAATAATTTTTGTAAACCAAGCTCATGCTAAAACAAAATCAAAATGAAATGAACAAAAATGAATATAAAAAGCAACATGATGTCATGATAGAAGACTCAACACCTACATTCTACAGCAGAGGTCTCAGACTCATAGTCCATGGGCCATCCCCAGCTGGAGTAGTTGCACAATTCAATTCAGAAGTGCTAGCATGGGCAGAGGGAAAGGGCCTGTCTGTTCCCATTCTGCAAGCCCTGCTTCCTTCTGCCACCGCCCTGCCCTCTCCCCTTCATAGGACCCAGTCCCCCTCAGGGATTACCTGAGAAGGGGCTTGGCACAGGGCAATAGCGCAGTAGTCAGGCTCCTCTGCACTCCCTGCAGCAGTAAGAGCCACAGAGAAGCAGAACTCAATTGATGGGCACACTCACTCTAGCTGGGAGTGGACTGTGAGTTTGGGACCCTCTGTTCTACAGAATGCCTTCTGGTGGCTAGAACCCAATTACAAAGTGAAAATCATTACTGGCAAAGATCTCTGTGGTTGTGCACTTTTCATTGAAACAATATTTTGGTGACCATTTCCACCGAAACACAGTGTTTTCTGACTAGCTCCAATAAGAAGTGGTGTGTAGATGTTTGGGAAAGCAAGGATTGGTCTATCAGAGTACGTTTCATCTGAATAGTGTAAAAAGCGATCATGATTTTTTATTTTATTGTTTTTAGAAAAAATTGAGATTTTAAGACTTGCTATTTTTCCATGGTTTTTCACTGTCACCTCCCTCCCCTCATCAACTATTTTTAGCTTAAAAGCATCTGTGTAAGAGAGATAAGGGAGCTAAAATGGATAGTGATCCTTTGATTTATGACCAGGGACAGAATAAGAGGGGGGTCCTTCCTAGCTGGAAATACCCCGGGGAAGTATATCTGTACACAGGATAGTTGGTATCATTTTGATGAGCACCATCCTTAAGATCACAGTTGCTGAGACTGAATATCAAATTGTCACCCTCTACAACAGTCAGGAGTCTGACAGTTTTACTGATGAGACTCTTAGATGACTGACTATGCTCAGAAAAGGAGAGTATACACACAGGCTACGTCTAGACTGGCATGATTTTCCAGAAATGCTTTTAACGGAAAAGTTTTCCGTTAAAAGCATTTTCGGAAAAGAGCGTCTAGATTGACAGGATGCTTTTCCGCAAACGCATCTTTTGTGGAAAAGCGTCCGTGGCCAATCTAGACGTGCTTTTCCGCAAAATAGCCCCGATCGCGAAAATGGCGGAAAAACTTGCCAGTCTAGACACAGCCACAGGGCACATCTACACAGCAGGGCTAAAGTTGGAATAAGCTACACAACTTGAGCTACAGCAATTGCGTAGCTAAAATTGAAATAGCTTAAGTCAGCTTTTGGCACTGTCTATGCAGCAGGAAGTTGAAGGAAGAACACTCTTCTTTGGCTTCCCTTACTCCTCACAAAATGAGGGTTACCAGGACTCGGAGTAAAAAGTCCTCCAGCTCAACATTATTTTTAAATAATGGCTTCCAGTGTAGACAAGCTCTTTGTTATTTTGGAATTACATGAGTTATTCCGAATAACGCTGCTGTGTAGCTGTACCGATACAGAGCAGTAAACTTCAGCTTAGTAATTATGGATAGAAAAAGGCACAGATCTGTATCATCACTCAGAAAATTACCATAAGATTAAATTGTTACTCAGATTGAATGTAATAAGAGCTTCAGATGCCCTGCTTTTAAGAACACTTGATGAAAGGACATGAATGGTGTCATGACCATGGTATATCATGACCATTTATGTATTAAGAACATAGACAGATAAACTAACTCTAGCTGTATATTTCTCTTAAGGCACCCACCACTATAATATATAAGTACTTTACACACATACAAATTTATCTTCATAGTATATCCCCATTTTATAAATCAAGAACTGTGGCATGAAGAGAAGAAAGATGATATTTTCTAAAGTGCTTCATGTTAGAATATTTCTGCTTCTACTGAAATAATTGAGTTTTCCTATTAACGTCATGTAAGTTGAGCTATACCAATGTAGAACATTTTTTATATATATACCACGTATGCTTAAGATGACACAGGGAGTTTGTGACAGACTTAAGTATTTAACATAGGGTTTCTGAATTCCAGTCCAGTGCCTTAGTTGCCCTTCTTTTTACTTACACATCACTCAGTGGATGGTCTATTGAAACCTCAATCATTTCTGAAGCTTCCTCCTCAAAACCGCAGTCTATTCAGAGGTATATCTGATGGAGAGATCTTGGAAACGCATGAGATTTCAGTAAGCTGGTAAACAAGCCTCAGACATCATACCTGATAAAACCTTCTCTGAAGTCATTTTAAGATTAAAAGAGCTAGAGAGAAGTCAGTGGACCTGTTATTCTTGATGGGACACAAGTGTGATAGGTATCAACAGACTGAAAGAAAAAGTAGGAACAAGCAAGCCATTAGGCAGGCAGAAATCACAGGGAGAGAGGAATGGACAAATGAATATGAACAATTCTTTAACCCAGAAGTTTTACATATGTAGTTGGAGCAGAATTCCAAAATGTGCAGTCTGATATTTACTATTAAGTTTAGTGAACTTTCCTTCCAAATTATGCAAATTGAAGGTTTTGGATACCCAGATATGTACTGAGATGAGCACACAACATTTAAATATAAAACAAGCAAGAAATTAGAAGGAAACAGTTCTTGACTTATCTTTGAATAACTGTGAAAAACCAAAATTGACCACTTTAAAGATACTATTACAAGTCTAGAAACTCTGGTAATTAGTTTACTGGGTTCAGATTTTCAAAAGGTACTTCTAACTTGGGAGTTCCAATTTTTGGATGATAAATATGAGATAGCTACTGAATCAAGTTATCCTGTGTGCTTGGTTCCCTTTGGCCACTCCCAGGCAAATCAAAGTGAAGGGGTTCTCCCTGGAAATGCACAGAAGCTAATTCTCTTGTAGAGAACTCCCAACTGCTGTAAAGCTGACATAGTCTTCAATGCTAACTTTGAGTCAGCCTCATCCTCGGCACAGGATACATGTGGCAGCGATAAGGGAGCATGATGGAGACAGAGCACATCAAAACTCAGTTCTCCACCATTGTGCCAGTGGTACAAATCAGAAAGCCTCCCAGCCAGCTGCAATGCCAAGGCTTAGGGAGCTGCAACCAGCTCCCTTGAGGAGGGAAGTGAGTCCGTGTGTGTTTAAAAACTGGGTGCCTAAATTAGAAGCTATTTTTTTGAAAAATGTGGCACTTACTGAATACTCTGTTTGTTTGACTTGGTTTCATAAGGTTCCCACACAGAAATAAGCTTCAGGTTTGTTATTCAGAATGCTCTCTTAAGGGCCAATCCAATTCCAACTGCAGTCTGTGAGAGGCTTCCCATGGTCTCCAGTGGGAACTGAATCTAGCCCAAACTAGAGAGTCTTAAACAGTTTTCAGCTCTGGCTCCCAGTAGGAAGGATAAATGGTATAAAGTGAATTGAACAGCCACAGTAATAGAATTGGCATCCTCTGTTGCTTAATACTAAATGTAAGTGGCCTGATTACGATCTCCCTTACCCCAGTGTACGTGAAGAGAACTCACTTAAGTCAGCATAAACTACGGCTGTGAAACTGGTGAGCTCATATAATCATACCCATGCGTTAAGGGTTAACAATGTCTTTGATTCAGATTGCTTCATCTCCAGATACACATTCATACTTTGTCCCTAATCCCTATAGGCACCTCTAACGCTGTCTCTGGCTCTATTTGAAAATAGTGTGTTATCTTCCAGTTGTAAGCAAAGGGTTTTTAACATAAGAGGTAAAATGTATATTTGTCTGAATAATGGAAAAGAATATCGTCAAGGAGTTCAGTTTTGTTTGTTTATTTTTGTCTTCTAGCGCACAAGCAGTTTTGGAAGCTTTGACCGTTTTAGACACCATTCAGTATCCAAAGCAGATGATTCAGATGAGGTTTGTATGTCGCAAGAATTTACTTTGGTTACTCCCTCTCCCTGTGGAAAACACTACAGTTCAGTTGTGTAAAACTTGAATTGACGAGCATTTGCTCATGTGCGTGAGCCTGTTGAAATCAATGGCAACTACTTGCGTGACAATGCTGAGCAACAAGAGTCAGGCTTGCACAATCAAACCCTTAATATCCTACACTTCAAAGGGATGCTTCCACAGTAATGGTTTTATGCTAGTAGCCTGGAGATGTGTCTTTCTGTCTTCAAGTGTGTTTGGTAAATTTCCAGCACTCTCATTGAGATCAGACACCATAAATAAGGTGAGCATCAATTTGTACAGCATTTCCTATCTCCCATTTGTGAGTACTTAAGAGAAGTGCAAGCCTGTTACATACATATTATTCCCTAGACAGATCTAAAGCTATAAGAACTGCTAATAATAACTTGCATCCAACTTATCTGAATCCAAAATATCTCTCTGCAGTCTCTCACTCCATTGTATCGGGGTTTATTTTCATCATGAGTAATAATTATTTTGTTTTTTATTATTATTTCAAATTAGATATGTGAAGTGGAGACTGTAAGTGACATTGGAGATCCAGGACAAAATAAAATGGCAGGTAATGGAGGAAGTTTAGGAAAGAAGATGCGGGCCATTTCCCTAACTATGAAGAAAAAGATGGGTAAAAAGTACATCAAGGCACTCTCTGAGGATATGGTAAATATGGTTAAAAAATCTTTTGATTTGTACAATCAATTATGTTAGAAATATGGTGCTTGTTTTGTTGTTTTTGATAGTGTATTACAAACTAGCCATGATATAAAAGAGTTCTGGTATATAACTTAGTGATGCATATTGAATAAAAATAGTAGTTAACACAATTATTTATCAGTTCTTTTCCTACTTCCCTACCTTTCCTGTATGCACATATTTCTCTCTCATACATGTGTGTGCACACAATTTCACACAACTGAGGCCTAGCACAGAGATGAGAGCTTTATACCATTGGGAATGGGGAGATTTTTTTGTTATGCCAATGGTAAAAAGACTGTGTACGCATCTGTCCATGCATATGGCCATGCAACTGAGGATAAATCTCCTTAAACACTTCCTGTTAACTGTACATCCAAAATATTGGTCCTAAATAAGGTACAAAGGAATTACTTTACCAAATCAGTGGTCCATTTAGTTTTATATCCTGTCTCTGACCAAAGCCAATATTAGGTGCTTCAGAAGAATTTTCAGTGGACATTTATAGAATGACCTGCATTCAGGAGTTCTTCCTAATCCCTGTCCTAAAGCATAAGGGTTTATATCCCTAATACTTTTTTAATCTTATCTAATGTAACTGCAGATATTCTTATTATATATGAAAATGAATGTATAATCTTTTTTTGAAACTAAACCTTTTCCCTTAATATATTGCAGTAATAAGTTCAACATTTTAATCACATACTGTGCATTGAAATGTTTTTCCTTTTACTACTTTTATATTTGAGTTTCATTTTCATTATGTGATTAGTTGTTTCTGTGTAACCAGAAAGGATAAACAGGAGTGCCAGATTTACTTCTGTGTAATTAAATTAATTCTTCATATAAAAGAGAGAGACAACATGTGTACCATAAAGTCTTATTTTCTCCTGTAACTAATATAATTCAATTCTTCTCCACTCATTAACTAGTGCAGTGTGCAATAGAATGATGAAACTAGCATTCTCCCATCTGGAAACCAATAACTTTTAAATGCTGTGATGTGTGTTATATGCATCTGCATGAAAAGAGGAAGTGAGTTTCTAAAAATTAGTCCTACAGCAGAGGCCCTAGGCATACACCACAAATATGCTATTATCTTTGCTCCATTCTATGAACCCCATAATATATGCTTAACAATTTCCTTAGTTTGAAGCAACATTCCAGATAGCATATGACATCCTGGTTACTTCAACATGTCATGCTATATTGACACTGCATGCAATACCATAAAGAACCAGCTTATTTTGGAAACCATCACTGGTCCATTTAGCTATATTACATCTACTTTAAATTCAGCGGTGATTGAAGCATGGGTCATACTTTCTAATCTTTGCAAACTCTGTAAGCTATACTTTAAGAGGTAGCATTTAAAAATATAACCTCCAAGGTCCAGGACTCAGGCCTTAGATGATTTTGTGAGGGAAATAGTCCTATGTTAATCTTGTTAAAGCAGAATTTTTATTATAAGACTTGAGCAGACAACTTGGGGAGTGTGATAGATGATCTTCCATATTCCCATCTGGAAGATTGGCTCTGAAAACCCCTGACTTTGGTTCTAGCTGCTCTAGGCCACTAGAGTCTGGGGTCTGGGAAAGCTCCTCAGAAGATTAAGAAGTTGCAGCTAATGGTTCCCTTCCTGACTATATGGAAGAGGCAGCCTTTTTTAATATGGCCTCAGATGATTTTGTATTTTCCTTATGAATGTCTAAAATTAGCAAAAATAACTTGAAATACATGACAGGTGAAAAACTTTGGGATAGATTCCTGCCCCATCTCTGGTGAGGTAAAGCAGCTAGAATGTCTCTTGTCTGGCTACATAGGATTTCCCCTTTGGCAAGCCTCAAATGGATATAAGTGTTCTGTTAATTCACTATTGTAGTAATTCCATGGGGACCAGAAATGAATTTATCCAACTGTCCTTTTTTTGTAGAGTAGTCACTAGGAAATTGAGGCACAGAGAGGATAAGTGACTTGCCAATGATTTCAGGTTAAGTAAGCTGTGGAGCTGGGAACTGAACCCAGACTTCCTAATTTTCAACCCTATGGTATAACCCTGAAATGTGCTTCCTCCCTTGAATGATTGCTAGTAAAAGAAACTTCCTTAAATTGCAAGTGTAATCCTAATTCTTTAAAAACCGTTGTAGGTGGCCAAGTAAATGTGCACAAGATATTGTGTGTCAGCTATGCATGTAAAATATATTTCACTGCATCTAACCACTGATTTTTTTATTGCTGAAGAATGAAGAAGGAAAAGAAGATTCCTACTCTCACAGTGACCCTGGGGATGGAACACACACAGAAAAAGTCTGCCTAAAAGCCAGTGACTCCATGGACAGTCTCTATAGTTTGAACAGTGGCCAGAGCTCATCTAGTGAGTACAAACAATCCTAGTCTTATCCTGTATTTTCTTTATTACTGACTACGCCTTGAGCTGTTGGTGCCAAAGAACAGAAATTTGATAACACAAGGATCTTCAGTCTAGCAGACCAAGGTACAACAAGATCAAATGGCCGGAAGTTGAAGCTAGACTAATTCAGACTGGAAGTAGTGTGTGGTTATTTAACCTTGAGGGTAATTAACCATTGGAACAATTTGACAAGACTTGCTACAGTGGTTCCTTACAGCTTTCTAATCTGTGAATCAGACTTTGCCCATTTTAGTAATTAGAACCAAAATGTAACTCCACAATAATTAAACTTGAACTTTTCAACAAGCCTGACATCCTGCCAATGGACACAACAGCCTTAAATGTCACAGCTGGCCCTAGGCCTGTTGCTGCCTTGGCCCCATCACCTGTGAAATAGTGATTGCAGGGTCTCCCACATAAGAGCCTTCTCTTATAGAGTCCGGGAACCCAGTGACTCTACTCTACAGATAGCCAAAAGGGGGTAGCCAGTGTAATTCTGTTCCTCTGGAGGTGGTGGGAGATCCCCACCAACACAAAAACATTAGAGGATCGAGGTCTGCCTCCTTCCCAGCTCACCAAAAACCTGCTATTTCCCCCACCAGGTAACGTAAACTAGAGGTTTAGGGAGGCATGTGATTGTCCAATAGGAAGTGGGATTCCTGTCAGCCTTCTGCATGCAATTATCTGATGCCATATAGTAGGCAAACTGCTACCCAAGGGCACCGGTCTCTACATGTGATGTTGCATTGGTGTTGTTGCATATATAATATGATGAGAGTGGGTTCTGTAGGCAAAGGCTACTTAGGTTTAGTGAGGCCCTGAGTTGAAATGGGGTAAATGTACAATAATTCACATCAATTCCAATAATTGTTATGGTCATTTTCTCTGATGCTGTTTTGTGCAATCTAAATGGGGAGTTTACTTCCAACACACTGCTACTTTCATCTACAAAACATACTTGGATGCATATTGCTTGACTTACTCTACTGATGTTTTATTATTCAGCCTAGATAATATGACAGGTAGAAATGTTGATAATATTAAAATTTCCTTCATAATGCAGGTGCTAGTTTATAGTATAATGAAATAAAGTAGTTTCTGCAGCATTTGCTTCAGTTTCTCTGAATAA